ATAACTCTGTAGAGAGTGTCGTATTATGATTAGTGTCCCAGATCGGACATATAATATTCTTTCAACTAAAGTTCAAGCTATAAAATTTTATAAATGATACATTTTTATATTATCGTTAAAAACAATAATAGGACATATTCATAAACGCGTCACAAGACCCCACTTCGAGATATTGACTCTGTTGACCTCTAAACGCTTTAGCTTTGGACGGGACTATATTTTTGGACGGGGGTGTCGATCCTAAGTTAAGCTCAATGTGATATTTTTTTTTTTTTTTTTTGATATTTGTCATCTGAGTTTTATTTCAAAGAAAAAATTATCAACTTCTGTAGTATAACCTGTTTTTCTTAAATTTGCAGTAAACGTGGTAAATGTTTGAATACTAATAAAGCAACTTAAGTCTGCTGTTAAACCTACCCCCCCCCCCCCTTGCTAACTTCCAAGAATCCAATATCTTCACCCCAGATCTCGATAGGGTATGATACATGTATGTATATACCTAGAGGCAATTAAGAGTCTTTTGTTTTCCACAGGTAGCAAAACTGTCACAATTTGCTTGGAACTAACAAAACATACACAGGGGATATTAACACTCAGAGAGTCGAATTAACAACTGAATCTCATGAAAAACAAACTCCGTGCTTTACTAAACCTCCGGATTGATGAAGTCATAATTTTTTTTTCATTTGCAATTTAAATCCAACATTTTTACACCATTCATAATTGATAGCAAACGATAAAATAAATTGTATATATTTTCCCCCTTAAAAATATAAACTTGAATCATGTTTATGAAAGTAAAATGAATACTCGTATAATAGCTTTTAATTTTTCATTCTACGTTTCACAAAAATGGGATTTGAAGAGACAAAATTTTATAGGTTACTAGCTATTGATTATCACATGAAGGATATTTGGTGAATGTTACAATTTTGAACATCATACATGTAGAAGGTTAACAATATATCAAAATGCCGTGAAGAAAAAGAAGACGGGGCTTTATTGGGGCTATGTACTGCTGACTGGACTTTCAAACGCTGACCATGCAAATAAAGTTTTCTTGACGTTTCAAGGGAAACATTTTATTTTAGAGATACACAGAGACTACCCCCCTACCCTTCTCCTTCTTATCATGTTCTCAGTGATCATGATCGATGTCCCATTTATATTAAAATATTAATATTTTTGGTATTGGACATTTTAATTACCATTATTTAAATTGTTGTTGTTGTAAATACTACCATGGGTATTATCTATGGTAGTATTTACAACAACAAAAATCAGAAAAAATAGGCCTGATAATTTATTTCATTTCTTTTTTTTTTTTTTTGCTCATGAACTGTGCATTGTTTAAATTAAAAAAAGATAAACCAATAAATAAAAAAAGCAGCAATATTCTATCTATGAATTCACTTCTTAAAAATTCTGTGCAGAAGGATGCATTTTTATTTAAATCCCTAGAATTACCCAATGCCAATCAAGGAAAATAAAAAAAAACGGCGACAAGAGATTATGAGGAAATTTCCACATGATGTTGACAAAGACCTGCTCTATTTTTGTAAGTAGATTTAGAATTATTGAATTTGTTATTTATTTCACATGTTATTGCATGGATCATAGATTTTTTTTTAGTCTAAAGATCTAGTATAAGATCATCCCGTTTCCTCTGATTTTATAAACAGACTTACAGTGTCTTCATATGTTATGAATTTCTTTCACTGTAAAGTGTTTGCAAACCTAGCAGTCTAGTCGATGGGGATATTCAGTAGTACATTATACAAGTTAACAAAGTAAATAATCGTCAGAAAACATCCGAATATTATTCTTTCGTTCGAATTTCCTCAATGACAATTAACGTTGTAGTACTCGTTCGTTCGAATATTCTCAATGACTTGAATGTGTACACAAGCTGGTGATTGTACTTAGAAATATATTGTCATGTCTAACTTTGTCTGTAATTTGCAAGTTACAGTTTATAAGTATCTTGATCATTGTTGATTACAGTCATCAGCATTACTGATTAGAAAATTAATTCTTATCTTCTCTCAGACATGGTTAAAAGTATCCCACTACTGTAGTGTACTATAGGGATTAACACACATTGCGTGTGTTGCAAGTATTATTTCTTTTTCTTTCTCCTTCTTCTTCTTTTTTTTTTTTTTTTTGCTGTCAAGATAATTTTTGAGATAGAATATGGGGATCAGTGTTTAATGATTTAACATATTACATGTCATGATGGACATATCTAATCACCCCAAAAACTCCTAATTATATTGTATCCAAATATCAAATTACTTAATCTCTGTTAGAAAATTTGTTGATCCTCTGAAGTTTACATAAGACATGTACCCACATGATTATTGATATAATCAATTATCATGATTATTAAAATGTTTTTTTTTTAATCTCTGAAAAACAGTCTTAAAACTTTGAGTGAAAATCAATCTTTAAACTGCTAAACTTATTTTTATACCATGAATACATAGGAAGGAATATCATTATTAAGTTATCTTCATGTACTTTTGAGTGGAAAATTATACATCTGTGTGCATGTTGATCCTTATGTGTAAGTAAATAATAAAAGACACAAATGCTAAGACTTTTTTATTTTACATATTTATTTGTAAAAATATTTTTTATTACTTTAAACTGAAATAAAAAACATTCTAGCTTTATTACTAATAATATGATTTTTTATTAGAATTGATAGGGAATTGGATATTTAAGAAATAAAGTTCACTTTTTCATGAATGTTGCAGTATAACCTGCTTTGTTAATGTAGCATAGATTTAAATTACACAAGGACTCCCAATTTCAAAAGTCATCGCCCACTGACTTCAAACACAAAGGTAGCCGCACAAGAATTACATTATATGTGGCCTCCTAAGCGTCAGACACAGAGATGGGTGCACATGAGATTTTCATGAATATTAGGCCTTCCCATATCAAAAAATAATACAGAAAAGTATATTTTTAATATACTTTTAATACATTCATTTCTGTACTTTCTTAAAATAATACAGAAAAAATATATTATTTTCCTATCACAAAAAATTCAGTATATCATTTTTGTATTAAAATTTGACTTTGATTTTGTACAGTGTATTATTTTTGTATTTTTTTGGACTTAGATTATTTTCAGTGTATTATTTTTGTATTTTTTTGGACTTAGATTATTTTCAGCGTATTATTTTTGTATTTTTTCAGGACTTTATTTTTTCCAGATGTATTTTTTCTGTATCAAATTTGAACTTAGTAATTTTACAGAAAAGTCTATACAGTTAGACTGTATCATTTCTGTATTAAATTTGGACTTAATAATTTTACAGACAGTTTGTCTGTATTATTTTTATATCAAATTTAGACTTAGTAATTTTACAGAGTTTGTCTGTATTATTTTTATATTAAATTTGGACTTTGTAAATTTATAGAAAAGACCTTACAATTAGACTGTATTATTTTTATATTAAATTTGGACTTTGTAATTTTACAGAAAGACGGTCAGTATTTGTTGTCTCAAATTTGATTTTAGTACATTTACAGAAAATTCCATATATTTGGTCTCTATTTCTTTTTGTTGGGGGGGGGGGGGGGTACATTTAGACATATTTTCTATTTACATTTGTCTTTATGAACTTTATAAATTTTAGAGAAATTCCTTGCAAAATGTCTGCTGCTTTTTTTTATAAGTTTATAGCATACCCGGTACTTAGAAAATTTTTATTATATATTTTTTTCAGGAATCTTGGTATCCGATTATCTAGAACTTAAATAATTAATTGGTACTAAAATTTATGTTAATCTCAATCAGTAGTAATCCAGAGGAATATTTCCATCTTAGGCATGAAGATTTTACAGCGGGTTTACATTGACTTTTCAGCGGGTTTACATCTTTCACGTGTTTACATCTATCACACAACAGGTGGTCTTGCAGGCTATATAACAAATGATTGCATCATACTACAATTCAGAAATTACGTGATTTACCTGTGCACATGGAAAGTCCCACCTAACTATTACCATGCATACGATGTTTTCTTCAGATTTTAGTATATATGTGCATTTTTTTTCACTCAGAGAAGGAATCATATTCAAATTATCCTAAATAAATTTCAAGAAATTAGCTTACAATGTTCAAGTCTAGAAAGGGATGTGCAAGTAGTAGGTTTCCTAATTTAAATTATCAGTGTTTAGATATTTACACTAGAGAAAGTTGGCTGAAACATGTGCAAAAATTATTAAAGTTTGGAAGTATTAATTTTTCTAACCTGCTTGGACTGTGTTATTGTGTAGTGGTACTGTCAATTTAATATAAAATTAATCGAAAATACTTTTTTCCAGGGAAGGAGGGGGGGGGGGCATTTTGGAAAAAACGTGTAGAGACTATTCTCTTTACTTGGAAAATATTCTACTAACATTATCAAGTGAAACTTGATCTCTCACCCCCCCCCACCCCCCCCCCCCCCAAAAAAAAATTAATGCCATGTATAAATTTGTTTTGAAAAAAAAATGGCTTAAATAAGAAATATTGACCCTCAGCTTGTCAAATTTATCAGTTCATTCAAAGAAACTAACTTAGTTTGTTGTTTTTTAGCCTTTTGTCACATCACATTCAGTTTTTGGTACAAAGTAAGTTGTTTTTATTCAGATAAAATATCAGTTTTTCTTCAACTCTGTGTTTAATTCTACTCTCGGTTTTAAAAAAACGATCCTGATTTTAATTAGTTAATAATTTACAAGTTAATTATCTTTGATCTTGGGCTAATTGTTGCATAATCAATGCAATCAAATGACAGTTTCTCAAGTTAAATCTTCTACCCTGACAGCCTGGGCATGTTAATTAGCCAGGTGGCTGTGTGCTTGCGTTGATCAAGCGTGAAGTGATTTCCTGTCGTGAATTCACACTTGGTTGCGTTATGTAAACAAGAGATTATCAGTATGCACTGAATAAACAGAACAGCTAAGGAATATTGCCTACACTGGGAATATTTATTAAAAAAGGACATGGCGCCGAGAAAAGGGGGCATGGCTCTATGCCTTGCTATTTTGCTTTAGATTTAACACTAAATTGATCCTTCTTCTTGAGCTTTATGGTCTATTTTACAGGTCAACTTGTATAATTAAAAAAACAAAACAATATGGCTGACCAGAAATCTTTCTCATCTGTAATCGGAAAATTTCTTTAAAAACAAAAATAACGATTATAAGAAATGATTCCTAATAATTATTCTAGTAATGATGAAGGGTTTATTAAATTGATTCCATATTACTTATAAGACTTCGTACATAAATACATTTCCTTAGACTGTTAAAAATATTTTATTTTTAAAAATCGGCAAACATTCGTAAATAAGGAGCTATTTGATTGGTCAGATTTTAAAATTTTTCTTTGCTTTTCTCTGATTGGTTAACGGTAATTTACCCACGCCATTTTGAAAAATAGATCGACGAACCGAATTGAGAGAGTTGGTGATGTTTAATAAAATTTAGCTAATATTCGCCGATGAAATTGGTAGAAAATAGATGTTTAGCTACAGTATGTTAGCATGGATCACATTTATAAACAAAGAAAAGCGAAAACGGAAGGAGGTTGGCGTTTTTCAAGCATCATGCCCTGGCTTTCCTGGTGTAAACAACGCCATATGCGGTAAGAATTTACATAAAATAGCACAGTAGTTTCAATTTTTAAAATGTGAAATGTAGATTAATAAATGTTACCTTTTATAACCAATTCATAGTAGGTCAAATTAAATGCAGATATATTGGATTTGTGGCGAAAGAGAGTTTTGTTATGCTACTTTCTATCTTGAATTGTATGGATAATTACGGGCTTTCAATGGCAAATGATATTATTTACATGGACCAAAAATGACTTAAAAATTAATTTCACCCTATCCCTCAGGGCTAAACATGGAATAATAACAAATAAAATCATCTTGGCATACAACCATTTAAATTTTGAAATGTGAAGGGGGGGGGGGGTAATCATTGCAACTAAGCTTCATGGATTTATGGTTTAGCATACTTATAATCTATTTCAAAAATGACTTGAGAAGAAAGTGGTAAGAAAGATTTTTTTTTGGCACAAACTAATTATTTTTTATATCAATATATGATGATCCATATTTCCCTTGCCCAATATCAGTTTAAGATTTCAAATCAAATGAACCCCCCCCCCCCAATAAAAGGGGGGGGGGGGATAATGGCTCAATTTGTAGAATATTTTGCCATGAAAAATTCCTATGAGGTGTATTGACAGTTTTATATTTTCATTTTTTAATGCTCTGTATTTCTACCTGTTCTACAAAACATTTATCAGTATCATTACTTGTACAGTTTGAGTGCCTCTGCAGAGCCAAAGAAGAAAAGATGATTAGTTATAGAGGAATAGGTCACCCACCCACCCACCCTACCCCTTGAAGCATTACAGGTGTGTAACATTGACAATATCAGCTAATCATGTGAAGATTTCTTTTTGTGTGTGTCTGTGCATCTAATTTGATATACCCCGGTACATTTTGATATTCTATTTTTTAGATTATGCAGGACCAAGCAGGATGACAGTGAGAAAACTGGAGATGTACTTCTTCAACAAAGTAAAGTGCTGTACAAAAGAAACCCCAAAGCAGAGAGGAGATCTAGACTTTTGAATTCATATTTCATTATAAATGTACAATTTACAAAGACAATAAGATTGATAAAACATGACTTAGAAATGAGGACAATTGAAGAGTGAATACTGTATGTAAGACAGAAAAGATCAAGATTATTGCACAAAAAGTAACTAAATCAGTAATCTAAAGCCATTTCTCTTTAAAATCTGATTGAAAGCTGCATTTAAGAACAAGTGTTTCACGTTTTTAGTACTTTTCTAGGCACTGCTTTGTATTATTTAAAGCTTTTTTATGTACTTTTTGTCTATCATTCTTGTACCTTTTTTGAACTCCTTAATGTATTTTTTTTGTATTTTTCAGAATGTATTATTTTTAGATTTTTTTGTTTTAAATGCGATTTTAATACAGAAATAATAGACTGATACAAAATTAATACATTTTGTATTATTTTCCTATTTTTTTTTTCAAGGTGCTTTAAATAATACAGAAATAATAGACTGATACAAAATTAATATATTTTGTATTATTTTCCTATTTTTTTTTCAAGGTGCTCCAAATAATACAGAAATAATAGACTGATACAAAATTAATACATTTTGTATTATTTTCCTATTTTTTTTTTCAAGGTGCTCCAAATAATTCAGAAATAATAGACTGATACAAAATTAATACATTTTGTATTATTTTCCTATTTTTTTTTCAAGGTGCTCCAAATAATACAGAAATAATAGACTGATACAAAATTAATACATTTTGTATTATTTTCCTATTTTTTTTTTTTTCAAGGTGCTCCAAATAATACAGAAATAATAGACTGATACAAAATTAATACATTTTATATTATTTTTGTATTTTTTAGTTCTTCTCTAAATTGTATTATTTTTGTACTTTGGATAAGGATTTAATACAGAAAAAATACAAGAGTACAGAAAAAATACATCAAGTGTATTATTTTTGTATTTTTACTGAGAAATAAAGTATATTAAAAATATATTTTTTTGTGTTTCATTTCTAAGAAAGTGTATTATTTTTGACCTAATTTGGAACCAAGATAAAAAGGGTTCCAAATTTGGTCATTAAAAATATACTTTTTTTGTATTATTTTTGTATTATTTTAATCTATTATTTTTATATTTATTTTCGATATGGGTTCTTAGCTCCTAACCTATCGACCTGCCTAATTTACATTCCCGTAGAATTATTAAGAAATCAACTCTCTTAACTTTCAAAGAGTTACCACAGAGAAAAATAAAATGCCCCGCCACAGCATGATATGTCCGTCAAATATTGTTCAATAATCATAAATTGGTTAGAGTGAAAGAAAATCAGGTAACCTTGATTAACAGATTGACACAGATTTCAATGATCTAATTTCCATTTCTTATCATGTTGAAAATATTGTACATGTATACATCTCTAAGAGACTTACAGTGTAGGGATTAATTATAACTAAATAATACATCATATAATTCTAAACTGGCTGTGTTAGAGCTTAACAAATATCTGTCTGCAGCTTTAAATTGTTTATTGAATATTTTGTGAAATAATGGAAATGCTACAGTCTAATAAAAA